CACACACACACACACACACACACACACACACACACACACACACACACTATGGAATTAGTTTTTAGTCTTGCTCTGTCATACAAGCTGAACTCAAACTAGTCATTGTCCTGCTTCAGCCTCCCAAATGTTGGAATTATAAGTAAGTGCTACAATGCCTGACTTCTGTCAGTACTGAGCAAACTGTTTTTGAGCCACATGGCTTCATGTTGTACAGGTAAAAGAAGAGGCAGCCAAATACCAAGGGGAACAGGGTTAGATTTCTGTCTCCATTACGATATGAGCAGGGTGGTCTGGGGCCATTTGCTCGTCTTCTCAAAGTGTCAGTTTGCTCTTCTGTAAAATGGCGATAAGGGAGCTAGCTTTACAGGATGGTGGCAGGGATTCAAAGTGATCATACTTTTATCGGGCATGTATCGTGCCAGCTGGCACTGGCAGGTGTGTGGTGTGTGGTTCATTTCAGCAACCACTTGGGGATGAGCAAGTGAGAAACTGCCAGATGCTTCTCTTCAGACTGTGACAGGGATGGGCGTGTCGCTCGAACATCTCACTGGTGCACCACCACTTGCAGCCAAGAAAGCAAGGTGCAGGTCAAGAGCCTTGCTGTGCGGCAGCGTATTTTAGGTGGTTCCCTTTAAACGATGAGGTGGGGGCTGCACCCCCTAGATTTCTGACCTGCTAATACCTTGCTTCATTCTCTTAAACTGGGACAGTTTCGTAATGAGTGGGAGCTGTTGATGTGGTTCTGTTGAGTAATAAGGTCATTCTTATACTCTATGAAATGGTTATCAAGGAGGTTCATGAAATGTCTAATAAACAGGCAGGTGTTGGATGACAGGACTGTGAATGGCTTCTCAGAAGCATCTGTCAGTGGAGATGCTTGCGGTTAATGACAGACCGACCATATCTCACCCATAAAAACAGTCCTCTGGCTTGATTGAGGGCAGCCACAGAAGGAATGCTTCTGAAAAACATAGTTTTTTGCCTTTTTTGGTTTTGGGTACATATGTATGTCACATGGAGTATGTGTGCATGTGTGTATGTTCACCCGTGTGTTGGTGCATGCATGTGTGTGGAAGATAAGGGTTGGTGTTGGGCAGCTTCCTCCATCACTCTCCACTTTGCTTCCTGAGACAGCATCTCCCTCTGAGTCAGGGCTCACCGATTTGCCTAGAGTGGCTTTCAGGAGCATCCCCTGTCTCTGAGTCCAGGGCTCTGGGGTCACAAGTGGCCTGACCAGCTTTTTCTGTGGGTTCTGGGGACCCAGACTCCTGTTGTTACATGTGCATAGCGAGTGCGTCATCACACAACCATCTCCTAAGCCCCAGAGTTTCTTCTTGTCTTCCTTGCTCTCTTTTTTAAAACATTTATTTACTTCTTGTATGTGTGTGGTGTTCTGAGTGTCCACATACTCATGCCAAGGCAT